AAATGCTGAACCTTAGGGTTAATACCAAGTCATTACATAAATTTAAATTTTCCAAACATAAATCTGCTATATATAATATACTGAAGCTGGTAAATTTCACACGTTGACAAACATAATAAATTAGTGGTCGAATCTTTTCCCTTTCGACATTTTTGGAAGACCTAACAAGGCCGCTAATAACGGTGCGCGATTGCATTTTGTTCGATTGCCGATTTTTTCTTCAGCATGGTGTGATCTTTGAACCTTCAAACATCTTTACCGCCGGTGTTTAATTCTCCGTGAATCAAAAATTTCCCTCGGCATATATATACATGTATTGTTACACATTGACGACGTTAATTGCTTTTTTGTTCTCGTGGGGAATTATGAGTTCAATGTGAAAATTATGTTACCATATTATAGCCATCGGCGATGAAATGCTAAAAATAATAATTAATAAAGAGGTAAATCCGCAACTCAAATTTCTTGATTGAAAAACGGCATTCTAAAATATTAAAACTGAAACTTAGAAGAGAAGATCACAAATTTGGTTTTCAGCAGACTCATCTCAGATAGAAAACGTTTTTATAGACATTGTAAATTACAAAATTTGGTGTTATGTTAGGTTTTCATCGTAGTAACTGCGAAATCGAAACACAGTCAATTGTGCGCGCGATGTACCTTTTTTCCCATTCTGAAACTACCGACGGAGCCGCACGCAGTCAATTGTGCACGTGATCCGCGATGTACCTTTTTTCATTCTGAAACTAGCGACAGAGCCGAATGCAATAAAATAAATTTCAATTGTTCGTGTTTTGCACCGACAGTGTGAGTAACGATGAGCACAATTACATTATAACGACGAGACACGTTAAATGCTCGCATCGGTCATGGATTGAATATTTTACGCAACAGAAATCTCGTTATCCGTTTTTTTAATCGCGAAGAATGTTGCGCGGAAATTTCCGATTCCAATTTTGAACCATTTCCCTCTTAAAAATCCTGGCTACGTTCCTGATTATAATGTCATTTTTTCAATTTCGCCTCTTTACCATATTTCGAGGCTATATTGTTGTCAGATTTTATCTGAGCTGTTATCGCTTCTTTGAACAGTTACAAAATTTTGAGTCAGTATTTGAAAAGTAATCGAATAGCTCGCGGAGCCCCTGGGTTTCTCTCGCGGAGCCCTGGGGCTCCGTACGGAGCACTTTGAGAACCTATGATCTAGATAATATAACGCAAGTTAAAAACAATTGATAGCTTATAACAATGATGCACCAGTCGCCTTCAAATATACATGTGGTACACAATAAAACATGTGTTAGCGCAATATTTTTGAGTTTTCGATTCGCGTAAATAAATATGAAATATGCGCAGGATCAACCCAATGGAGAATCTCATAAATACCTCTTTTAAATCGAGTTTATCATGTGCAATCCTTTCTCTATAAAGGGAGCAATGGAAAGCATGGAGCGTTTTAGAATGTTTACATGAACTACTAAATTGTAAGGATTGTATTGACCACGAGTGGCATCTTTCTACAATTTGCGCACGCGACATAGTATATTTAGGGCTAGAAATATCTAGAATTACGGGAAAGCATTATATTGACATGTAAGAATTTCTAAATAGCCGACCAGAATTGACGCAGTGGGGTGGGCTGGAAATTCAGTTCACAGCCAAGGCGCACATTGACCCACATTCACGTTTGTATTATGGCCGCCAAAAAAGAAGAAAAATATATTTTTAAATTGATTCAACAGCTATCTGCGAAACCGTTAGGCAAAAAATATGAGCTACGACGTATGTTTGTGAGCGCACAATGCTGTAGTATGGTCAAAAACGAGTTTTCTACTTTTACATTGTGACGTCACGGACTCAGAGGATTCGATTCGAGTCCTTGACCTATTACTCGGATTCGTCGAATCTCTGTAATGCCGGACTCGTCCCATCTACATACTCATTATTTAGTGAACACCAGAAACCAGATTTTGCAGTTCATTTTTTAGCTAGTGAGGAAAGCATGCACTCCTAATCTTCCTAAGGTGAACACTTAAATCCACGTATCCACCACAGTATCATGTCAATTTACAACTGACTCTAGCTCCAAACAAAAAAATCAGTTTTCATAACAAAAACTTGCGCATGCGAGCTTTCTATTCTTTCAGTTAGCACAATTCAAGCTTTTCATTTAATGGAAAGTTTTGACATTTTTTAATTTCTGGCTTGTGAGAATCCCATATGCCTATAATTTAGTTAGAGTAAACACTCTTAAACCTTGCACCCATCACTTAACCCAGGAATCATCTCTGAGTAAAGTTCGTGACACTCACTCAGAAAGTAGACTCATCTCTGAGTAAAGTTGCTGACAGTCACTCAGAAGTAAAGGAGACTCATCTCTGAGTAAAGTCACAGGCACTCTCACTCAGATGTAAAGAAGACTCATCTCTGAGTAAAATCATGGGTAGGGCTGTCCAAGCAAACCGAATATTCGAAATCGAATCGGATCGCAAAATATTCGAATCGTTTTTTTGGCTAATTTGCGAAATGCTAAAATTAGCTACATAAAGCATATCCTCACGACCATCTTTTGTTTTGCACATCGTTTTTTTATCGGGCAAGCGGCGGCACCTAAAGTTTCCTGATATTTCTCTTGCCTTCATTTTGCGATAAAAAGGGATCTCTCCTAATGCCGATGGCATGTGAATAGCCATATCATGCATGGTCATAACTGACAAGTTATTGTCGGCAATATCTGTTTTCAGAGTGTACACAAGGGGAAAAGGCAATTTAGTATCCACAGAAAACGATAGTTCAATAAATAGAATCAATTTAAACATGTCAAGTCAGTAATCATAGCAACATGGTACTGCTTACTCACAGCTGAAGCATGTATTGTGGGGGTTTTATGGTGGCAATACTTAGTATTTACCATCTATTAACAAGACAAATAACTGCACTCTTGCATCCTGATAGCTGTGTACAGTAACAATATGTTCATTAAATAATATTGTCATCATCAAACTAGCTGCAATTTATATACTCTGGAAATATAGGCGCGGCGGTGTGGCTCAACGGGCTAAGCGTTAGGAATACGCTCGCCACCGCACCTCTGATTGCTCTGCGTGGGTTCGCAGGTTCGAATCCCATGCAGGGATGGTTATGTGCGGGAGGATTGCTGGACTCCTCGTCGTCGTTGGGTGGTTCACGTAACCGCTTGTCGGTTAAGGCTTCCTCCACCACCAAGTCCATGCTTCCGAATACAAACAATATAACTAATCCCATACCCGACTTGGAATGGTAACCGGACAAGAAGCCGTGGTTCACCATATGGATAAGCAGTCTTATCGGCTCTCCTCTCCCCCGGGATAAATATGTAAATCCTATCCTGTCCTATAGTTATGCAATATATGAGCAGTATTTTAAATGTATCACATACATTATTACAATTTCAAAAAAGGAGTATTTTTGTTACAATAGAGATTTGGGATTGCGCAATAATATTAGATTATTCGGTTCAATTCGACAAAATTATTCGATTTTAATAAACAATTATTCAATTTTGGACAGCCTGTAAAGTTATGAACACTCACTCGGATATAAAAAGAGTCTTCTCTGAGTAAAGTCATTGACACTAACTCAGATGTAAAAAAGACTCATCTCTGAGTAAAGTCATGAACACTCACTCAGATTTAAAGAAGACTTATCTCTGAGTAGAGTCATGAGCCCCCACTCAGTAAAGAGAAGAATCATCTCTTTGTAAAGTCACAGGCACTCAGTCAAAGATAAAAAAGACTTAACTCTGAGTAAAGTTATGGACCCGCACTCAGATAGAAAAATAAACTCATATCTGAGTAAAGTCATGGGTACTCACTCAGATATAAAAGACTCATATCTGAGTAAATTCATGGGCACTCACTCAAAGCCGAACCAGTGTGAACCTTACACGTCCAAAATAGTTTTGTGTATGTTCGGGAAGGAGTTCGGGAACCATGTTTACGAAGAATAAGTTGAGTCACCCCATAAAAATGTTGAAATATAGGTACAAGTGGTTAACCAGTAGAGAGCTTTTTCAAGTCCCTATACTATTTAAAATGAGTACCTACTCATTTACTCAGATGTAAAGAAGACTCATTTCTGGGTAAAGTTATGGACACTCACTCAGATGTAAAGAAGACTCTTTTCTTAATAAAGTCACAGGCACTCACTCAAAGATAAGGAAGACTTATCTCTGAGTAAAGGTATGGATACTCACTCAGATGTAAAGAAGACTCATCTCTGGAGTAGAGTCACAAGCACTCACTCAGATGTAGAGAAGAATCATCTCTGAGTAAAGTCCAAGTACTCACTCAAAGTTAAGGGAGACTCATCTTTGAATAGAGTTATGGACCCGCACTGTTACGTCTAAGTACAGTACCTGAATTTCTCCTTAATCCTCAGGAGAGAGCTATTTTAAGCCAAGCTAACAATTCTAGCGTAGGCCGGTGACACCGAAACGTTGTATGTTTACCAGGCTAAGTTTTGGCCATAATTTCAAGGACAAATACTACAAAGTCACTCGGCTAGTCCCCAAACTTGTAATAGAACTAAAATAATGAAATTGAAATAAAATTATGGCCTGATTCTAACCTGGCACATATACAACATTTGAGTGTTCGTCGTCCTGGTGTACATACTTCTGGAGCGCCGCTAAATGTGTACGTACATTGTTCGCAATGTAATAGCATATAGTTGTTGTAATATTTCACAAAGTTTGTAAATCATTCAGAACTTTGCTCAGCCTTAAAATATTCATGTTCACTAAAACTAACAATTGCGCATCGTAATATTTTCTTAGAGTGAACACTGTTAATAATGTGTGCATAAATAGGTATTATAGTAAAAACACAGAACTAAAACAAATACATAGCATAATTTCCCCATAAAAATGATAATACCCCTCCTCCATAGAAAATATTTCATTCACGGTTGGAAACATAGCTTTAACCGCATTGTTTTAGGCATCCCTGAAGAACACTGACCTGTTCAAGTCTTGTAAAATCCTATTTGCATGTCCATTAGTCTTCACTTTAATTTCAAGAGGCATTTTACTGATATTTCTAACTAATGACTATGTAATTCAAAGCTAAATAAAACAGTTATAAATAGCCATGTAGAATTTGTCATAGGTATTCAGAAGACAATTTGAATTTCTCTCAAACATATGTCTCATTTTTTATCAGAAAATTAAACACAGTTATGAGATACATTAAAAATCAAGGGGTAAAAATTCAAACAAATGCTTCAGAAGGGCTTATCAACATTTCAGAATGGGTATTTGGGACTATGTGGGTTAATAGCACTGTTTCTCAATCTATGGTCATGACCTGAAAACTGGTTCATCTGAAAAACTGACTTGACCGTCATGATTAACTATTTATTCGAGCTCTCCAGAATTAGGTGAACCAATATGATGGAGACCGGAAGCGTAGTATGTGTACCAGGTTAGGTCCTACTTTCATTTCAATTTTCTTTATTTTAGTTCTATTACGAGTTCGGGGACTAGCAAAGTGACTCCCGTAGTATTCGTACCTGAAATTATGGCCTAACCCTAACCTGGTACACATACTTTGTTCCGATGTTCGACATCTTGGTTCCCATACTACAGGAGTACCAATAGTCATATAGAATTTGCATTTAGAATATGATTTAAAATGTATAGATGATTTTTTTATCATAACCTCAATTTTGAGGCCAACGCAAACACAAGTACACGACATATATAGAACAATCTCACCAAAAAATACGTTCTCGCTATAGGGACAGATAAAGCGTTTGTTCCATATAACTAAATATTTGGAACATTCTAGAGATTTAGTCCATACTGTAATGGATTGCAAAACTCTGGGACTTTGGTACGATTTGATCTCAACCTAACCCGATAACCCAAGATGTTAGAAATAGCAGCACAAGTTCTTATGAATTGGGATAAAAATATTCTGAATAGTCATGCCTGACTTCCCATTTTTAACCATGTGCAGACTTAGTACATATTAGGTTAAACATGATTGCTAAGGAACTCAGTAAAGTGGCTGCATTTTTACACTTATGCTGAACCCCACAGAAATAAACAAAATCAAATACTAGAATATCTGTCCAGTTTCCTCGCATCAGCTCTGAGAAGCTAGCAAAAATTATGGAATTTCAGCTGACAGAAATGCAAAAAATCACACGCATAAAAACATATGCCTGTATGTTCATACAGAAGGGGTGGAACAACCAATAGTAACATGAACCTTTCAAAAATGGCAAGAGATTTAGAAACCGTATTTTGAGTAATGATGAAATGTTCTTTACGACGCTGAGACTTGCAAAGTAACATGGAATAATCTGATGGAAGCGGGTTTCTGAACTCTGTATTTGTAAGACTTCCATACTTATTCAGGGGAGTGGGAAAGAGACAAGACGGCTTAAAAAGTGAACCCCAGTGTCTCACTGTGTTACCAGTCTATGCCAAGTATGGGAACAGTTAACTAGTTACTTTTGTTTCACATTAATAGACTCGATAGTGATTTTAGTTTACACAAAAAATTAACAAAAGGTAAAAATACAGAGGGCTGCTCAGATATACCTCGACTGCAGAGAGAACTGTTGAGTTGTCTATCTTTTCAGGATCCAATGGCAAGAAAAACAATTATCCTCATACTGTAGAACATCCAGTCCCAAAAGCAGATAAATTTTTAAACATTCATCGGTACTCCCGAAGTATGTGAACCAAAATGGCGGACACTAGAACGTAGTATGTGTATCAGACTACGGTTAGGTCATTATTTCAGGTACAAATACTATGGGAGTCACCTGGCTAGTCTTCGAACTTGTATTAGACCTGAAATAAGAGAAATTGGAATCAATTTATGGCTTAATCCTAACCTGGTACACATACTATGTTCCCGTGTCCGCCATCTTGGTTCACATGCTTCTGGAGCGGCTTCATCTTACTGTCTTATTAACAATTCTTTCTCTGCCAGTCTTTATCTGAATACCTATTTTTAGTTATAGGTTTATTTAGACTCCATCCATAATGGACTTTAGAATGATTGATAAAAACAAAATTTTGAATCAGCATTGTTTCTATAATGGTAAAGCTATTCTATTTTAAAATTAAAATAGATAGATCAGTTTATGCCTACAGGCAGACCAGCGCCTAAGAAATCCAGAATCTCCTGAACTATCATTGCCTGACTGCGGAATGAACAAGGATACATACCGTTATTACAGTACTGGTACCGGTACCGGTACGGTACGGTACCGGTACCTACAGACCTATGGCTACAAGACAAGACAGCAAACAACTGCCTGAGAAAAGAACGACGAAAGAAAAATGATGGAGCGCAAGCAGTGACTAAAGCCTGCAATGCAATAAAAAACAATGCAGGAATATTTATTATAACAGAGCGGCCTTCAACGAACATCAAACTAAAAATCAAACATGCAGAAGCAGACGTTAACGAAATGAGGTGTCTGAGGAATGCCGTTACTATGGTTACCCTGCTCGATGGTGCTTGACGTCGTATTTTGTAGGTAACGGTTTGCTGTGTGTTGTTTTTTTGCGATAATCAGTCAGTCAAACTGTTTTCATTTCATATTAAGTTTGAGCCTCCGGCCCAATAACCAAGTTTATTATCTATAACTGACCCACTCAGAAAGATAATTGCCCACCCCTGGATGAGATATTTGTGGCCGTGACTGCCTGTCATGCAGGGTGTTACACGTCAGGGTTGCCATATTGGCTTTTTTAACGCCAAATTTGCCATTTTCCAAACGCGTTCGGCGTCAGAATTTCCGTTTGGCTTTTTGGCGTTTTTCAAGTCTATTCTACTGTCTATTATTTGAATCATATGAAATACAATAGCCCTGTAATTAGCTACTCATTAGGATTTCCTGGAGCACCGATTTCCTTGTTTGTTACATTAACTCTTAGCCATACCCAACGACTAACATACCGCCATACCCAATAAGAAATAATTGCAGTTCCTGCAGCTGCTCGGACAAATATTCAAGTAGGGTTGTAAACATTGCCTCGTTTTTATAGTTTTGCGTGTTATTTGTCAGTTTTACGTTGTGTTTCCAAAAAATAATTGTATAACTCAATTTTCATTATGCCCGATATGGTTTATGTAGCGTATGTGAGCTTTAGTTTATTTCTGCAATTGCAGTAACGATGTGATTGACTACGCTAAAATTACTGAATAAGATATCAGTGGTCCACCTGTGAGCGGCAGGGGGTTAGATACTTTTTTAATAAAATTGATGGTTTATAAATTTTAAAGTGAAAACATTTTCAATAGTAAAGTACGATATAGGAAGAATTTTTCTCAAGGTATATAACAAGTTTAAGTAGAAACATGTAGGTATATTACATACTGACAGACTGAAGCGGCACCCTGTATTGTATATATGGAATGGTAAAATAATGCTGTCCGCTTGATATTTATTTTACTTTCTACAGTTCTATAGAAACTTTACTTTTTATTCGTGTGCCTCACTGAATGAACTAATGGGTCTATATCATCATCAGTACGTTGCCAAGGGCTTAAAATCTGACAAATCATGGGGCTTTTGTACTTAGTAAAATTGTTGGCTTTTTTATGTCTTGATTTGTCTTTTTTTATCGCTGGGGTCTGGCAACCCTGGTACACGTAACGGTCGGTTACGACGAATTCCTCCAGCCTCGAGTCCATGCTTCCAAAGGTTAATACCCTAATCATCCAACCAACCGTTTGTATGCTGTCCCACACACCGTTGGATTTGATTGGTTGATCTTGGACTTATATGGTAGGGAGTTTATATAACTGTTTTTATTGATTACCATGTCTTTTTGGTATTAAATCATGTAATTTACATGTGCTTGCATAACTATTTGTTTTTTCATTTTATTTTCTTTAACTATTGGCAAAACATGATGTAGTATTACCTACAACTGATAATTACCTATAGCTTGCATTTGTTAAAATGGCCATAAAGCTCTAACCTTGAAATGTAAACATTTCTATGAACAGTGTTCATCATAATTGTATACTGTGTGCAATCCTGAATTTATGTGTTTAGGAATACTATGTATCTGCTTATACTGTTTGTGTTAACATTTTCTATAATTCTATTCTATTCTATATTCTATAATTAAGTTTTCTGAAAGTCATTTTCAATAGTAACAATTTCACCTCCATTTTGTGCATTCACATTTTTTGACCAAGGTTAAACTATTTATTGATGACCCTACTTTTTACACCGTGTACAGTATAACATCTAGATCAACTTATTTTTCACTATACATCATTTCAAGATCCAGGAACAAATATATTTACTATTGTTCTTGTGTTTGGTCTGCTTCTCCCAATCTTTACAAACCATTAGTAGAATTATATAAGATATATGCCTATTACGGTTGTAGTTTTTCTCTTAAATATTGCATTTATACGAAACAGAAACTTTTTGTTACCAATTTATCTGAGCTATGCATGTATATATCTATATCTTTACCGTATTCACTTTACTTCTGCCAAAAATAAGATGATTCTGCAACGTGGTCAACTGAAATCATATGCTTTGTGTACTATTTCCTATAGTGTGCATTTGTCATGATATCACTATGTCCTAACCTTAAATTTAATCTATGAATCAATGCATTTTGTTCATATATATTCGTATTATAATTACAATTACACTGTGTGCAACCCCAAACACCATGCTTTTAATATTTCATATTCTGAAATGCTGTTTTATTCGATCATCATCCATTAATCTATTTGATTGGTAATGTGTCTGCATATGCTGCTAGTATTGACATTGCGTATTTCAAAACTTTTTGTAGGACTGAGCCAATAGTAACAGGAGCAGTTCTAACATCCCTATGATTAATCGTAACCTTGGATCAATAGTCAATACCCTAAACTATTGATGACCTTAGCATCTGTATGCCCTGCATTGTGTAGTACCGACTTTAATATATTATTTACTATGCCAAGACTTAAATACGATGCTTACTTTAATTATTTTTGTTTTCCAATAGACTTATATGTTTACAATCTTTTGTAAAATTATCTTAAATGTTTATTGACTGTTGTATTGTTTCTCTTTAAAATTGCATT